GTTTATTATTAAAAATAAATCAGCTTAAGGCCTCATGCACACTGGGTGTTTTTACAGCTGTTTTGGGTTTCTGGCAGTTTTTTCTACAGCTAGTAAACTCTATAGCATGTTATCCTAGGTGGATACCTTTGAGAACGTGCGTGCGCATGAAAGCGCGTCAGTGAAGAGCCTTCGTGCTGACGTCACGCCGCTGCAGCCATGTGATGGTCTGGCGGCCATATTTGTAAGTGCTTTTTATCCATTGATGATTTTATGCTCCACGTGGTTGCTATCTTTTTAATAAAACACACTACACTATATGATACTTGTAGCAATCGTACCCAAAGAGAAGGATGCAGTCCTCCATTTTGTTAAGAATTTTCCATGTTGTACCATTTCTCACTACCAAAGCAGGCTGCCTCTTCCTATCATCCCCCCTCCCTCTCTGTTGAGAGACATGTGGTCTGTGTGTGTTGGCAGAGGTCACAGGCAGCCAAAGCACAGCAGAGAGCTCCGAGCTATAAAACCCCCAAGGGAGCTGGGGCCTAGCTGTCTAAGAAACTGTGCAATCTGGCATATCGTAAAAGTATAAACCAAGTCCCTCACTGAACTTCAAAAGACCTTCCAAGGGGTCGTAAAAACAGACTTGCTTTTAAAAACTCACTTTTCATATAAGTTGATATCTTCACGTAGGACATAATTACCTAAACATGGAGCCTATATTCAGAAGGCTCAGTTTGAGGCCACCTTGACTCAATCTGGTATGTTATACCCCTTAGCTGGCATACATAGAAAAGCAGAAAAAGTATATCTCTTGAACCATTTAAGTGTATGTTCATTTCATATCTACAAATGGAGAAAGTTTAGCACCGTTTCGACTGCACATGCGCCTGCATATTAATCTACCCCGCGGGTGGAATGCATTAAACATGTACCTAGGAAAAGTTATGCCTCTACACTTGATTGATTCATTTGGTGTATTTTATCACTGGCTTCTGGAGTATATTTCATATCTAACCGTTTCGCACATGCGCCTGCATATTAATCTACCCGCGGGTGGAATGCTACATGTACCTAGGAAAAGTTACACCTTGATTGTTCATTTGGTGTATCACTGGCTTCTGGAGAGATCCCACCTTCAACAGGTCACCAGCAGGAGGAACAAGTAGGAACACCCCTTAGTGTCATTCCGCTCTTGGCTTGCTTACTACTTACTTCTGGTGAGTGCATTACAGTGGAGGTGCAGTGCGGAAGTCACAGAAGTCACTACATATTGCTGATTTGATCACATCACTATTTTTGGGACTATTATATTTAGAGGACTTATATATTTTCATTTGTTATACCGTCCATTTTGTTTATTGGAGTATTCACTATTTTCTATTTCTTTTTTACGATGTTTCCTTTCTCTTTTACTATCACACTGGTCATCACTGATTATAACACATTTTTATCAGCGCTGCACACTGATATTATAATGTTATCCTATGTGTCCATGCACAGATAGGCTTTAATCAGTGTTTTTTGGCAGGAGCGTTTTCTGTCTGGAAAACACTCAGAACTAGTGGGTTTCAAGATGTGTTTTTTAAAGATCTAATGCTGGTAAATGCTGTAAAACGTGGCAATCCAGCATTTTTGAGGCAATTTTTTTTTTGTGCTAAAGAAATGCTAAAAAACACTAACGCGGAAAAAGTGGCTAAAAGCTGCAAAATGCTAATGCAAAAACGTTAAAAAAACTTTGGAAAAACTTGCGTTTTTAACACGACTTCATACAGATAGCGCTAATGGCGTTTTTTTAAAACACCCAGTGTGTATAAGGCCTTAGAACCACTGTAAATTAATCATCTCAGGACAGGAGTGAGCTGAAAAAAAAGATTCTTCCAAATAGTGCCTTTACTAATGATAATCAGTGTGGCACATAAAGATATTTTTTTTCTAATCTTTTGAGGATTGCCCTGGCAATCCCACAAGGAAATTCACAAAGAAGAACATGCAAACTCTATGCAAATAGTGTCCTGGCAGGAATCAGGATAGCATCTGTTAGTCAATGTGGGTATTCTATTTAGCAGTGGATGTTCTTATCTGTTTCTTCTCAATTGTATTCCATTTATACTGAAATATAGCTATTATGTTTACAGAAGCCAAAAAAATATACCTCTATAGCATGCACGTAGGTCTTTCAGATTGGTCACTGCCCTAGAAGATGTTTAGGCTATGTAGAAATCAGAAGCATGCTAATTCCATTCCTTGATAGTCATGTTTTCCAGATCTACTTGTGTCTAAGCTACAAAGAATTGAGCACTTTTTATTGAATGTCACGTTGCAATGCTCCCTTGGGCTGCATTAGGAAGCTGTTCTGTTGGACTTGATGTGCGAAGGAATACACTGACATAGCGCACATGGCTGATTTCAATCCAGAATAATTCATTTATTTATTTTAATAGTACACCACATAAAAGTCCTTCTGTATGTTCTCCATGGGAGCGATGACTCATGCCAGAAAGACTACTGCTTTTTCTTAAAGTGTACCTGTCACTGGGTGCTCTGGAATTAGCCTACACTCAGTATATGACATTATATATCAATATTATATTATTGGGATACAAGGTCAATTGTCATGTTGGCCTTAGTGATATTACTTATTCCCTGTAAATTATTAGATTGCACACTGTAAAATACTGATCCAAAGAATAATTTGGCTGCCTCAGTATGGTGGAAGGTCCGCAGGTGTGCCAGCAAAGTTGAACCTATAGTTAAATATCTTTTTAAGTTTTCTTTTTATGTAAATATAAAGTGTCAGTTGGTTAAATCCCTAATTTTAAAATAAAATGTATTGCAAGGCTCCATGCACACGGGGCGTTTTATTAACGCTGGTAACGTTAGTTGTGTAAAGTCACGTTAAAAACGACAGTTTTTCAGCGTTTTTGCATTAGCGTTTACGGTGTTTTGCCGTGTTTTTTGGCGTTTGCATTTTTAGAGGTTTTTCACCAAAAACATTTTTATTTTTTTGGTCAAAAGAAGTCCAAAAATGCCAGTTTGCTGCGATTTACGCGTTAGAGTGTTTTTACAGCTAAAAAACTCCTCCAGAAACCCACTAGTCCTGGGTTTTTTTCCAGCCAAAAAATGTTGATTAGAGTCTATGTGTGCATGGACAGATATGATAACATGCTGGGGGGTTTACTGGCTGCAGAAAAAAACGTCAAAAGCCAAAAACAGCAGCTGTAAAAACGTCAAGTGTGCATGAGGACTAAAACAAACCTATATTGAAAGAGTACCTTAAAGCTGTAGTGAATAGATAAAGAGCAGTACAAAAGCTTAAAGCGGAGTTCCACCAAACGGAGAAGTTCCGCTTTAATGATTGGTCCCCGTTCCCCATTGAGGATTGGCATCTTTAGGAAGGGGGGGGGGGGGTGAAATTGACCCGCTCCCACTTCCGCTGCGATCGCCTAGGTGATCAGAATCGAAAGTTGTCCTCCTACCCTCCCTCCTCGTAGTCTTGTGGGACACGTGACAGGTCCCAGAAGATGACGGGGCCATTCAGGAAGCGCAGCGCTACTCTGGGTGCACAGTGGGCACCTGGCTGTGAAGCCACAAGCTGTCACAGCCGGGTTCCAACAATGAAGATGCCGGTGCCTGGAATAACGGAATGGCCGGTGAAACGAGCTGCGGCGGGGGCACCGTGGGATCGTGGGACAGGTGAGTGGCTGTTTTTTAAAAGTCAGCAGCTACAGTTTTTGTGGAACTTCGCTTTAAATGCTCACTATTTCTGGACCAATGGTGAATGGAATACAGAATACAAGGATTTATGTGAATGGACAAGGGAAGAGGAGGGGCAGACAAATGATGCTGGAGAGAGTCACAGCTCTTACGGAACAAGCAGGCCAGAAGAATAGTGATATCTGTACTGTCTGTAGGGATTTTACTCTTCAGGACAGTGATTTGGACCTGGAAAAACATCAGCAGTGGTAACTTTTTTTACACTTCGCTATGCAATGCAGTCAGATCATGGCTGGTTGAAGGTGCAAGCAGGGTGCTGTACATAGCTATCAGAAAACATCACAGCACCTGCCTTAGTATTCCTCTCATAAGCCCTGATGCTAGCAGTAGGCTGGCTCTTGCAAATATCAAAATACCTTGAATGGTGAATGTAAGTCTGGACAAGTAGATATAACTAGGCAGAATAAATCTGCATGCAGGCCACCCTAGGTTGGGCCCACGTGTGATGGTAAGCTTGATAGCAAGAGCTGAAATCCAATGAATGAAAGGGGCAGGCTAGGGGAAGTAAGGCTGAGGAGGAAAGAGCAGGATGATACTGGATGTCTTGCAGCCGGGAAATGAGGTAGGGTACATCTAAGGCTAGCTATACAATATACAATTTTCTTTAAAAAATTGCTTTAGATTTACCAAAAACCATATAATATGAGGTCAAATCTAAACAACACTTTCAATTGTATCCAATTAAGCAGGCCCTTGCACTATATAGTTGAAGGTAAATCTAAAGGAAATTGGTCAGAAATTGAACAGAAAATTGTATAGTGTATGGCGAGCTTAACTTGCTTCCGCTTCTGGGACACACTGTACAAAGTTCACAGTGTGCAGTAAAATCAGAGAAAGCAATTACAGTACAGAAAAGGAGCCTATACAACTGTGCAAGGCTGAAGATAAGGCTGGAGGTTAGCTTTAAATTACAGCAAGTGAATTGCTGGCAGTAAATGTTTGGAAATGCCAGATTTGTTGCTTTGTAAATTTGCCCAACATCAGTACATCGACTTTTCAAGCTCTTTTTAAAATTAAAATGATTGTAAACACTCACCTTGTAAAACAACTCATTCGGTTTTAAATAGAAATGAAAGGCAAAACATTTATAGATAGATATTAACCACCCCCCGCCAGCCAAATAGTAATATGACAGGCGCAAGGCGGTTCTCTCGTTCTGGGAGGACGTCATATGAGGTCCTCCCATTCTCACTGCGCATGCGCGGCTCAGGAAGCGTGCAGCGCGGCGATCGGCAGTGCGCTGTGTCCCTCGGACACAGCGGATCACTGATCATGGAAAGAGCCGAAGATGTCGGCTCGGTCATGTGATCAGCTGTGTCCAATCACAGCTGATCACATGTAAACAGGGAAATGCCGGTTATCGGCATTTCTCTCCCTCTTGAGCTGTCACGCTGACAGAGGAGAGCTGGTAATCGGCATTCCGTGGAGGGGTCATGTACACTGATTATCAGGGCACTGATTATCAGTGTGCCGTGATGATCAGTGTAGCCCCAACAGTGCCACCTGTCAGTGTCCATCAGTGCCTTATGTTAGTGCCTTGTGCCAGTGCCCATCAGTGCCACAACAGTGCCAAATATCAGTGCACACAAGTGCACATCAATGCCACATATCAGTGCCCATCTGAGCTGCCTTTCAGTGTCACCCATCAGTGCCAGTCAGTGCCACCTATCAATGCCAATCAGTGCCGCCTATCAGTGCGCATCAGTGCCACCTATCAGTACCTGTCAGTGCCGCCTAACAGTGCCAGTCAGTGCCGCCTATCAGTGCCCATCAGTGCCACCTATCAGTGTCCATCAGTGCAGCCTATCAGTGCCCATCAGTGCAGCCTCATTAGCGCACATCAGTGAAGGAGAAAAATCACTTATTCACAAAATTTTATAACAAAAACTAAGAAAAAAAAATTTTTTTGCAAAATTTTCAGTGGTTTTTGGTTTGTTTAAGAAAAAATAAAAACCCCGGAGGTGATTAAATACCACCAAGATAAAGCTCTATCTGTCTCAAAAAAATGATAAAAATTTCATATAGGTACAGCGTTGTTCGACCGCGCAATTGTCATTCAAAGTGCGACAGCGCTGAGAGCTGGAAATTGGCCTGGACAGGCAGGGGGTAAATGTGCCCTGAAGGCAAGTGGTTAAAAAAAAATTTTAAATACCTTTTTTCCCTTTTTAAAAGTAAATACATTCCCTCTGTTCTCAGCTGCATAAGGACCCTTTCACATGGACATTCCAATCGGGTCCGTCTGCCCGTTTTTCAGGTGGACCCGATCGGAACCTCTAATCTCCTCTATGGAGCGGCAGGTGTAAACGGACATGTGTCCCTTTACACCCGTACACATCCAATCCAATTTGATTAAAAGAGACGGATGAGAATCCATCCCCGTTCCGTCCGTCGGATCGGATGGAATTGCAGTTTTCAACCAACTGCTCATAGAGGACAGCGGGCTGTGTCTGTGTTCGCTCTGTGCAGATACGGACCTGTCATCCGCTTGCTCAATGGGGATCACGGAGAAATCACCCGCTGAGCAAGCAGATCCGCTGACGGGTCTGCCCCGTGTGAAAGGGGCCTAAGAGCTAGTGCAGGAAAAACAGCAGCACACTGATCTTCCCAGTGAAAGTCTGTGCAGGGAAGGAGGCGGGAGTTGTCAGGACAAGTCTGATCAGTGGAGGAGAGCACACTGAGTTCCTAGCACAGCTAGAGAACTGACCAAGCTGTGCTCTCCTGCTTAGTGTGGTCAGTTTTTAAAGCGGAAGTAAAGTCCACTTTGTAAGTTGTACCTACAGCTAAGCTTATAGTAAGGCTTACCTGTAGGTACAATGAACATCTTATAAACGTGCACTGTTTAGAAGATATTCACACAGCATACAGGCTGTGATGTCACCAGCACATGCGCTCTGAAGGGATGGCACAACATGCTGGACCACCAGAGCTCCGTGCCGCAGCAGAGAGCTCCCATGCACATGCACAGGACTAATGTCATTACCACTCATTCATACTGCCAGAGCCCGCAAACCTGGAAGGAAGACATGGTGAAGATGGCGGCACCGGGGAGCCAGGACAGTGCGGCACTGGAGGGCTCTGTGTACAGGTAGGTCTGTCATAAGGTACTAGCATGCAATGCATACTAGTATGAACGGGCAGCACAGTGGCTAAGTGGTTAGCACTTCCGCCTGGCAGTACTAGGGTCATTGGTTCAAATCCCAACCACAGCACTACCTGCCTGGGTTTGCATGTTCTCCCTGTGCCTGCATGGGTTTCCTCTGGGTACTCCAGTTTCCTCCCACACTCCAAAAACATGCTGGTAGGTGAATTGGATCCTGTCTAAATTGGCCTTCGTATGTGTATATGTGAATGTGAGTTAGGGACCTTAGATTGTACGCCCCTTGAGGGTTAGGTGATGTGAATGTACAATATATATAAGTAAAGCACTGCGTAAATTGATGGCGCTGTATAAGTACCTGAAATAAAAAATAAATTATGACCTAAACCTGCGAGGGGCCCGTTGTATTGGAGGGTTTTTTTCAGACGGTTTACAAGGAAAGCAGAGAGATTGGCAGGAACACCAGGGATTTCACACAAAAGAAGCAATACAAAGACAACAGGATACGTATTCATACATATCAGGAATATAAAATATTGGCTTTACATATTATTAAAGTCATGTATTTAACTTGAACCAGAATTTAGCCAGTTTGTATAAAACAGATAGAAAAAAAAACCTAGGACTGCACAAATGTATTACACATTGACCGCTAACAATGTTCACTTCTGCATTCAGTTTTTGTTTATCTCATGTATTTCTATATATATAGAGAGGGATGATTGTTATTCTTTAAATGTTAACTAACCATACTGCTGCCTTTATTGTTCAGCTTCATTATGTAGCTTTTGAGTCGGAAGACAGTAGAAGTAAAAACGTGAATAGAGCCCATTATTATATACAGTCATACAGTATGTTGATTCTGCAATATAGCGTTTGTATTTTTGCACCTATGTGGACATTTGTTTGCTCGGAGTCCACAGTACAACATTATGAAACAACTCTTGATCTAGGGATTATGTGGATTTCCACTAAGCTCTTTTTTTTTAACCATTTCAAAGCATCAACAGCACCGCCGTCCTCTATTGGCTTGTTCCATGCGGCCCTCGTTCTGTAACAGTTAATGGAAATAGGTGTCATACAGCAAAGTACTCTGAGTAAATAAGTGGTTTATCTAGCAGAATGGGACAGTTTCCTTTCCAGTCAAGACTGGAAACATGGTGAGAGCGGTTTCCTCTTCCCCGCTACCTTCCTGATTACTTACCACAACAATACCAGCAGCAGAATTGTCTTGTTCCAAAAATTACAGTACGGACAATTGGTATTTAAAATATACTTATTACGTCTACACCGTGGAAGAAGAATCTTTTGTGGATTCAAGCAATCTTCCTATGGTTAGCACTTCAGCCTGGCAGTACTAGGGTCACTGGTTCGAATCCCAACCATGGCACAACACGCCTGGAGTTTGCATGTTCTCCCTGTGCCTGCGTGGGTTTCCTCCGGGTACTCCGGTTTCCTCCCACACTCCAAAAGACATGCTGGTAGGTTAATTGGCTCCTGTCTAAATTGCCCTAATATATGTATGTATGAATGTGAGTTAGGGACCTTAGATTGTATACCCCTTGAGGGTTAGGGACTGATGTGAATGTACAATATATATTATTATTATACAGGATTTATATAGCGCCAACGGTTTGCTCAGTGCTTTACATTATAGTGGGAGACAATACAGTAACAATACAGTAACAATACAAGAGGGAGTTGAGGGCCCTGCTCCTTGGCGCTTACAATCTAGGAGGGAGGGGTGAGTGGTACAATAGGTAATAACTGTGGGGGATGGATTGGTTGGAAGAGTAGAGGATTCCAGTATTAGCAGAGGGCGGGATAGGCTTCCCTGAAGAGATAGGTTTACAGTGATCACCTAAAGGTAAGTAGAGTAGGTGATAGTCTGATAGATTAGGGTAGGGAGTTCCAGAGGATGGGTGACGCCATGGAGAAGTCTTGGAGAGGAGGAGATAATGTAAAGCGCTGCATAAATTGATGGCGCTATATAAGTACCTGAAATAAATAAATGTACTAAAGACATCAAGGGAAAAGTATCGCACATATGCTGTAGTGAAGAAAGTTGGCTGTACGGTGTTCCAGGTCACAACATGGCTGGCACCACTATGTTTGGGGTACAGGGAAAGTTTTAAAGGTGTATGGGAAAGCATTCTGTCTGTGGCCAGACAACCCAACAAGTACCAACCAGACAAGTAACCTCAACTTTTTCCATCTTTTCGGTATACGCTCAGTTACAATTGTCCAGGTTTGTGACAGGTTAACTATCTTCAAACTTGCCAGAATTACTATCCTGACCATCATCCTTAGCACATGACTGCTTATCTAACTAAGGCTGGCCATACACTATACAATTTTCTGTCCAATTTCTGCCTGATTTCCTTTAGATTTACCTTCAACTATATAGTGCAAGAGCCTTCCTAATTGGATACAATTGAAAGTGTTGTTAGTTTTGACCTCCTATTATATGGTTTTTGGTAAATCTAAACCAAAAATCTCAAGAAATATGTACAATGTATGGCCAGCCTAAGGTCATCCAAAGCAGTGTGCTTACAGTGAAGCACACAGGCACTGCCCTATAGTAAAACACACCCAGCACACAGTTAACCCTTTGATCGTCCCTCATGTTAACCCCTTCCTTCTCAGTGCCATTAGTACAGTGTCAGTGCTTTTTTTATTTAGCACTGGTCACTGTATTGGTGTTACTTGGTTTTCAGTGACACCAAGTCAGTTCCCCCCAGTGTCAGAATGTCTGACGCAGTCCTGCTATAAGTCACTGAGTAAAAATTAAAAAAAAAATTAAAATCCCAGTATATATACCACCATTTGGAAACGCTATAACTTTAACGTAAACCAATTAATTTACACGTATTGGGATTTTTTTTTAGCACAGACATGCAGCAGAATACATTTTGGCCTAAATTTATGATGAAACATGGTGAGAGCGGTTTCCTCTTCCTAATTACTCACCAATGATTTTTTAAATTTTTTTACTGGACATGTTTAATAGCAAAAAGTCAAAAATATTGTTTTTTTTCTCTCAAAATTGTCAGTTTTTTTTTATAGCGCAAAAATTTAAAAACGCACAGGCGATCAACTACCAGACAGTTCAATTCACGGGAAAAAAAGGACGTAAATTTCATCTGGGTGCAGTGTTACATGATCGCGTAATTGTCAAAGTAATGCAAAAAATGGACTGGTCAGGAAGGAGGGTAAATCCTCAGGAGGGCAAGAGGTTAAAGTGCATGTGCTTGAAATACAGGCATATAGGTGCAACCTATTAACTCTTTTGTATAAGGGCTCATGTACACTGCAGCTGATAAACTGACGTTCAGGAGCTGTTCAGCATTTTTTTCAGCAGCCCCTGTACTATCTCTAATATTTTCCTATGTGTCCATGTACACTATGTCGTTTACAGGCAGTTGAGTTTACAGTCGTTTTTTTGAACGCACCAAACTTGCGTTCAGGAGTAGATTTTGCCGGTGTTTCAAACTCCAAACCGCATTTATAAGCATTTGCGTTTTGGAGTGTTTTTTAACTCTTCCATGTCCAGATGCTGTGCAGAGCCTTTTTTCCATCATCAGAAATGCATACAAAGCGTTTTCCATCTATTCAAATGGACCCAGTACACCA